TTGCTCTTGTATATAAACCTTTCTTATATACATATGAATGTAAATGAATTTGTTTCTCTAGTCTACCTAGACTAACACAGTAATCTCCTAGGGAGTGTGGCCTATATAGAATATATATATAACCATTCTAGAAAGACAGAAAAAGCTGGCAGTGACTTGTCAGCCCCTAACCACGTAAATGAGGAAACTGGGAAACAATTTAGAATTATACTTAGCTGCAGTGTTATTTTGCTTTGTGTACTCGTTTTACTCTAAATCCAGGAAGTAAGTAGAGAAACTCGTGTGTGGGGAACAATTGGTGTGTGTAGAAGAGGAGGAAGCTGGAGGATGAGGAGGGGTTGGCAGTAGAAGCACCAGCCACCCCGGACATGAAGCAGAAAGTGACTATTCCTCTTTGCACTGTCACCTTGATTTTCTTCAACTCACCTTCACACCTCAAGAGTCAGCTGAAGGACATCACTTTCCACCGGACGCACCTGTACAAAGTTGCCTTCAGGCACCGGAAGTAATCAATAACCAAAAGAATAACTCAACTACCCTCCCCCTCTCTCTCCTCACCTTTCATGAAGGGTGCAATGGAGTAGCAAGATGATATAAATTATTCTAAGCAATCAAATCTTGCCATTTCCCCCCAAAGAACTCTCTTCTTTAAGTTCTAATATACTCAGACTTTGCACTCTTTAGTGCTATAAGTGATTTTCTTCCTTGGGCCATTATTTTTCCCTCTAGGAAGTTACACTTGAGTTAGAGAGGCAAAATTAATAAATTGTTGATAAAGTATTATAAATTATTCATTTGTTAATTTTGCCTTTATAACTCAAATGCAATCTCTCAGAGAGGGGAGAAAAAAGACATAATCTTAGTACCATGTCTCCTTACCATTCATATGTCTAGTACAATTTCAAATACATTTGATTTAAAATGATCTAGAAATAGTTGCACATATTGTATCAGCCTCTCCCAAACATGTAATATTTGTCTGTTGGAACATTTCTAGAAGAGACCCTTGGCATGAATAGGCTTCTTTTGAAAGACAAGAACACAAAACCTAGCCTCAAACAGACTCTTCTATTTGAGAATGTGGGTGGAGAAGGTATCCATGGCTCAAATAGCCTAGCTCCACAGCCAACCCAAGGAAGGTCATCAGAAGTGGAAGAGCTCAGGGTCCAGTTCCCAGAACAGTGTGGATAGTGACTGACCCCTGGGGCTAAAACAAGTGGAAACTTGTTTGCCGAGTTCATTAGTAATACTTTCCCACCCTTGCCCCCAAGAAGAACACGTAGCAATCTTCTCCAAGTGGCTAGGGAGCATAATTTGGGATTATTTTTTCCACCTATATAAGGTCAATTTTCCCTTAGCCCACTCTTCTTTCTTGCATCTCACTCCCCTATTCCCCCAAGTCCACATGAACCTGGGTTTTATACTCTTGGAGTTGGACCTGGCCTTGAATTAAGGGATATCTCGGAACATCATATTTCTCCAGTCCAGTGGTTCTCAATCTTCCAAATGCCACGACCCTTCACAGTTCCTCATGTTGTGGTGACTGGTGACCTCAACCATAAAATTATTTTCGTTGCTACTTCATAACTGTGATTTTGCTACTGTTATGAATCGTCATGTAAATATCTGATATGCAGGATGTATTTTCATTGTTACAAATTGAACATAATTAAAGCATAGTGATTAATAACAAAACAATAAGTAATTATATATTGTGAAATACTTATTTCTAATGGCAAATCAATGAAATGTTGTCTTGAAGCATGGTGCAGCATGGGTAACAGTCTTCACGCCGGGTCCTCGTATGTGGGCGGGCCCGCCTGGAGACGGATAGAGGAGCGGTGTCTCAGTTTCGAAGACCATCGTAAAGATGCGTTTTCCGATGGTCTTAGACAACCCTTTTGAAAGGATCATTCTATCCCCTTCGGGGTTGAGACCCACAAGTTGAGAACTGCTGTTCTAGTCTGTATCTGTGCAGAGTTGAATCAGGGGCTCAAACCATTGATGGGAGCAGCAGCTACCTATGCCTCCAATGTCCCCTATCTTGGATTCGAGACTTCTCCAGGCAGAAGGGATGGGACCTCAGACTGTTGTACACGGTTTCCTGTGTTTTAAGTGAACGTTTACACAGCAAATTGGGTTCCTCTCTGACGATTTTCATACAAATTGCTCTTTCTCAGTTTTTACAGCATTCTCACTAGATCCAGTCTGTTTGCTTTCTTTCCCGGGATCCAGCTTCCCTTCTGCCCCTGACAAGTCCGTCTCCTCTTTGCCTCAGGGTACATGGTGACCATTTATTTGGTCTCCTATTGTTAATTGATCACAAGGATATTGGTTATTTTACTGGCTAATCTACTACTTGGTGGCAGGGTGGCCTGCAGAAATCGTTCCAACCCAAGGGAAAGGTTTATCTTAGGGAACTAGTCTTAGGGTTCCTCTGACCCTTTATTGTTTCAGTGGTTAGACGTTGGACTGCTAACTGCAAGATCAGCAGTTCAAAACCACCAGTAGGACCCTGGTAGGGAGCAGATGCTGCTGGGAACAACATTCCTTCTCTTTGGTTATGGATGTTTATAAACTCGTCTAATGGAAAAGCAGCGTGAGTTGTTGTTGGTTTTTTTTTTTTAATAAATACTTTTATTGGGAGCTCTTACATCTCTCATCACCATCCATACATTCATCCAGTGTGTCAAGCACATTTGCATATATGCCGCCATCATCATTTTCAAAGCGTTCTCTTCCCACTTGAGCCCCTGATATCAGCTCCCCATTTCTTCCCCCTCCCTCCCCTGCCCAGCCTCCCTCACAAACTTTTCATAAATTATAGATTACTATTTTCATATCTTACATGGTCCTCCTTCACCCCTCACCCACTTTGCTGTTGTTCATCTCCCTGAGAAGGGGTTCTAGGTTGATCCTTGTGATTGATTCCCCCTTTCTCCCCCCACCCTCCCCTAATCCTCCTGGTATCTCTACTCTCATTGTTGGCCCTGGGTGGTTTATCTATCCTGGATTCCCTGTGTTGCGGGCTCTTATCTGTAGCTGTGTGCCTACTCTGGTCTAATCCAATTTGTAATGCAGAATTGAGGTAATGATAGTGGGGGTGGGGGGTGGGGGTGGGAGGAAGCACCAAAGAGCTAGAGGAAAGTTGTGTTTCATCCGTGCTATACTGCACCCTAAAAAGCAACGATGAACGCATGAAGCACATTGCCGCATGGGAAGAACTGAAGGAAATCATGCTAAGTGAAGTAAGCCAAGCACAAAAGGACAAGTACGAGGCATAGGGAGGCATAGGGGAAAAGCTACCATATACATACATCCCTGGGGTGAGGTCCAGCAACTGGCAGGGGCCAAACCCAATTCAGCCATACATACGGCAGCCAACTAAGAAGAGGGGGAAAGAAAGAGAAGAAGACGGGGAAAAAAGACATGGGTAGTGGGGGAGCAAGGCAGGGTGAGTTTTTAAAAGAAAAGCCAGGGTGGACTTTCTCCGGAGCCTGGTGTGGGGCTTAAGGTCCTGAGCCCAGCCTAGACTGTGGGAGACCCAGCTCCCCCAGCCCCAGCCGCCCTCCTCTGACCCGCGAGCACTAGCCCGCAGGTGCCGCGCCAGCCAGGGGCGGAGTCACGGGGATTTAAAAGCAGAGCAGGTGTCCTGGACGCCAAGCTCCAGGGTCTGCGGGGCTGTCCACGCCTGGCCTGCTCTCCAGCTGCCTGACAACCCTGTGAGCCTCCCAGACCCCCACCGCAGCCTTGGCATCATGATCAAGGTGCGTGGGCCCCAAGACACCTGCAGCAGGGGCCCTGGGCCGTGGGGAGCTCTGGAAGAAGGGTGGTTATGCATTGGTCTGCTAACTGCAAGATCGGGACGTTCAAAACCACTCCGTGGGAGAAAGATAGGGCTTTCTACTCCGCAAAGAGCTACAGTCTCCAACCCACCCCCACCCCGCCCCGCCCCGGGACGGTTCTCCCTTGTCCTACAGGGTCGCTGTGAGTGGGCATCCATTCAAACCCATGAATTTGGGTTTGGGTTTTGGGGGAGAGATAGGAACTGCGGGCTATCTGGTGTTAGAGCGGCCTCTGGCCTCACCGCTGGGTGATCTCCCCACACTGGAGAGTAACCCCTCTCCCTGGCCCCAAACTCCAGGTTTGGGACACACACACACACCCCGCCCCCAGGGTGGGCTGGGGTGAAGAATGTAGCCCAGGTGTGCAGAGGTGCGGGGAGGGGCAGTTCCACTGATCCCTGGGCGGCACTTGGTCCCAAGCTGGGGGAGGGAGAGAATAGAGTTCCCATCTGTCTATCTTCTTGTCCGGCACCACGTTGTCTCCCCACGCCATCCACACGCCCAACTTGGTGCAGTTCATGAGCTCGGGGGACAGTCCCCTGCCTAGGGAAGAGGACACACATCTGATGTGCCCTGTGGGAAATACAACACTGGGCAGCGCCTGAAGCCCCTTGCAGGGATTTTGTCCGGATTTGGGGGAGATCAATGCCCATCTGAGTTCCTGAAGGCTTCGTGCTTGGGAAAGTGAAGGGGTCCCACGAAACAGAGGAAGACCATCACGAAGAAGCATTGGCACAGTTGCCGCCAACAACAGGCCCAAGCATAACGAGTGTAAGGATGGCAGGACCAGGCAGGGTTTCACGGGGTCCCGCACAGTTACCATGAGCCTGAGCGGACACCAGGGCACCCTAACTAAGTCACCGCCTCTGGGAGAACCATTCTTCTAAGAGGCCCTGCAGGCCTGCCGTATCCCTCCCACTTTCCCTCTGAATGGGCGAAGCTGGAAAGCGAGAAGGAGAAAGGGTGGCGAATTGTTTCTGGAAGGGGAAAGAGAGAAACTATCCACAGCTTTCCCCTTCCCCTCCACTCCACTCGCTCCCCAGACCAAGGCAGAGGGTCCCATGCCCTGCCCCTGTCCATACCTGACTCACAGAGAGCCCCTCGCTTCAGGAAAGATACTTGCAGCCAGTGTTGCAACCCCTGTTTGTCTTCCAGAAAACCCTAGAAATTTACTCGGTGGAGCTCAATGGAGCTATAGCCACGGAGAAAACCAGCAAGGAGGACAACCAGAAGTCCAAGGGCCTGAAGAACGTGCTCTGGAACCACAAAAAGAACCGCCAGAAAGAAGAGATTACGGGCAAAGCTGATCTGGTCGGTAACCTTAAGCCCAATGGGTTCCTCTAACCACGGGCCTCCTGAGAACTTGGCCCTCTTACAAAACAAGAATCCAAGTCAGGCAATTGAAAATTCACCCGGAGATTTGTTTCCTGGTTTCTTTGGGGTGGGGGTGGGGGAAGGGGATGGTGTGATAACATCCGCCCAGGCCCCATGCAGAATCCCCATGTTATGCTTGGAGATGCTCCCAGAAGATCCCAGAAGGGAAAGTCCCTGAGCTCACGCTTCCCTGCTTGTTTAGTGAGACAGAAGTATGTGCCTGCTAGTTTTCAGCCAGGAAAGTACAGAACCCAGTGCCTGTTGAGGACAACCAAAGTCACTAGACCTTGATAGGTTCTGGATAGATAATGTCACATGAGAAAGAAGATAGACATTTAAGAATAAACTCTTACATTCACTGATATCAAGTTGATTCCAACTTTTATTGGCCCTATCAGACAGAACAGAATTGGCCTGTGGATTCCCGAGGCTGTCAATCTTTATGGGGGCACAAAACCTTGCCTTTCACCCATAGACCAGGTGGTGGTTTCAAGCTGCTGACCTCGTGAATAGCACCCCGACTTGTACCCCACTACAGCACCAGGGCTCCTATCTGTTTAAGATCCTAAGATCAGAGTGATAAACCTGACTTTGTCAGTGGATTCCCCCCTTGCCAGTTGCTTCATGTTGGACCCGATCTGGTTTTCATTTCTATTTTGTTTTGTTAGTGGGGGGGTGGTGGTGGTTGTTTTTTTTGTTTTGTTTTGTTTTTTCATATTGGAGCTTATCTCATGCATTTTGTCTTGGGTAATCCTCTAGAATTTTTGTTACGTGATTTTTGGTATATGAAACCAGGCTTGATGAGCCTATAGAGACACCAAGTAGAAGCAGGGTCCTGGGGGTCCAGGAGAGGAGGAAGGGTAAAGGGGGGCTGATATCAAGGAGCTCAAGAAGGAAGAGAATGTTTTGAAACCGATTATGGTAGCAATTGCACAAGACTGCTTGATGTAATTGAACTATGAAATGTTATGATATCTGTATTAGCTCCCAATAAAATGGCTTTTTAAAAAAAAGAATATGAATCCTGAAACTGCATGAGCGGTATTCAAATTTGAGTTTGATTTAAACTTCAGTTTCCTCTTTTGTAAAATAGGAATAAAACATGGTTCTACCTCTAAGGGAGTTTAAGCAAGACCAGGCATATAGTAGTTGTTCAATAAATAGGGGTTGTTTCCTGTGCATTTGCAGCATTTAAGACAGAAAGCAGAGCTACTCTTCTTTGGAACTGCTATTTACAGCATGAGTTTGTCTCCATAGCTACTATGTGGTAAGAAATTCAGTCTGACCCCTTCAGCAATGGCCAGATAGTCCCTAACACTTGAATTCAGATAAATGCTTGAAGACCCCTCCCTAGCTCTCAGACAAAAGAGGTGTTTTTTTCTTTTCCTATCACACTTCCTGACCCCCCTCCCCATGATCAGTGCTGTACTCAGCTCTCATGGACTGGTCAACATTCAGGGTTGGGACATGTGGAAGGATCTAAACCCCTCTATTCTTCTTCCTTTCATGGATTTCAGGATGACCACAAGCTCAGTAGTGAAGACCTGGAAAAGAAATACGGAACCAACATTGTGACGGTGAGTCCTTGGGAACCAGGGCTCAGAAAGAGGAGATAGTTGGAGAAGGATTAAAAGAAATTCTATGACTAAAGATACAAGATATCCAAAAAAGGGTGAGCACACTTCCGTGCACCTGTGAACACAGCACACAACACAGGGAAGCCTCTGACAAAAAGGGACCTTGTGAGGAGCTCAAAGGTTGGGTAGGACTTGTCACTGGTAAGATGAGCAAGCACTCAGGATGCGTGTGCAGAAAAGTAGAAAAGCACTGTGCTGTGCTCTGCAGGAAAGGAGCTCTGGTGGCGCAGTGGCTAAGAGCCAGCCCCCTAACCGAAAGGTCAGTGGTTCAAACCCACCAATCCCTCTATGGGAGAAAGATGTGACCATTAACTTCTGTAAAGATTAGTGCAAACAAACCCAGGGACAAGGGAACAACAAGTGATCTAAAATCAATGGCAAGGGAAATGGAGAATGCCTGGTGGGGTTTGATCAAGTGCAGTGTAGCCAAGAGAAATTACTGAGAACTGAATGAAAGTCAAACATGATAGTGTGACAGGAGGAAAGCAAAAGGGAATAGAGGAAAGAAGTAGGTGGCAAAAGACATTTATAGAGGTCTAAATGCAGGCATGTATATATGTAAATATATTAACATATAATGCTAGGGATATAGGTATACGTATATATATTTATATGTTAAGTATTAAGGTAGCAGATGGGCATTGGGCCTCTACTCAGCTCCTTCCTCAATGCAAGAATACTTTGTTCTAAAAACCTGGCATTCCATGATGCTCACCTTTCCGACACAATTGCTGAAGACAAAATGAATGCACAAGCAAATGTGAAGAAAGCTCATGGTGCCCTGCTATTACAAGATATACCATCTGGGGTCTTAAAGGCTTGAAATTAAGCAAGCGGCCATCTAATAGGGAAGCAAAAATCCAATATGGAAGAAACACACCAGCTTGTGTGATCATGAGGTGTTGATGGATCAAGTGTCAGGCATAAAAAGTCCCAAAACAAGCATATCGATGTGAACAAGGGGGGTTGGAGTGGAGACCCAAAGCCCATCTGTAGGCAATTGGACATTCCCTCACAGAAGGGTCACGAGCCAGCCAGGATGTAGTATAGCGATGAAACACACAATATTCCTCTCATTCTTTAATGCTTCCTCCTTCCCACTACCATGACTGCAGTTCTACCTTACAAATATGGCTAGACCAGAGCATGTACACTGATACAGGGAAGAGCTCTCAACACACAGAATCCAGGATAGATTAACCCTTCAGGAACAATAATGTGAGTAGCAATACCATGAGGGTAGGTGGAAGATGGGGGGAGAAGGGGGAGAAAATGGGAACCGATCACAATGACCGACGTCTCACACACACACCACCACCACCACCCACACGCAAGGGGATGAACAGCAGAAACATGGATGAAGGGAGTCAGCAGTCAGTCTAAGATATGAAAATAATAATAATTTTTAATTTTTCAAGCGTTCATGAGGGTGGGAGGATGGGAGAGGGAAGGAAAAAAGAAGATCTGATACCAAGGGCTCAAATAGAAAGAAAATGTTTCAAAAATGATCATGGCAACATAGGTCCAAATGTGCTTAATACATTTGATGTGTGGATTGTTATAAGAGCTGTAAGAGCCCCCAATAAAATGGTTTATTAAAAAAAAAAAGATTAGAACAGTGGGTGATACTGCCCCTGCGGGGTGCTGGAAAGACCCCAAACGCAGACTCCCTGCCATCCAGGTGGTCTGCCTCCTACGACCCCTATAGCACAGGTTAGAACCGGCCCTCTGGGCTTCAGAGACTAACTCTTCAGGTGAGTTGAAAGCCTCATCTTTCTCCCACAGTGGCTGGTGGTTTTGAATGGCTGACCTTTCGGTTAGCAGCCCAACAGCATACCCACTACACCACCTGTGCTCCTGGAATGACTGGGGGTTGGGGGGTGCTGCACAAGCAGATGGCCCCACTTTATCCTGGATTATAGGCTATAGTACAAACGTTTTCCATTGCCAGGGGCACTGAGTAATTTTTTTTAAGGAGGCAGTAGGCCAAATGAATTTGTAAACCTATGGATTCGAGCCTTGGAAATCCTGGGGCGGTGGGAGGAAGGGGGGTGTTAGCAGTTAGGCACTGGGCTGCTAACTGCAAGGTCAGCCTTTATAAACTACCAGCCATTCCCTTCAAGGGTTAAAACCCAAACCCAACTCACTGCCACTGAGTCAATGCAGATTCATAGTGATGCTACAGGACAGGGTAGCATTGCCCCTGTGAGTTTCCGAGCCTAACCCTTTGCCCCACGGAGCAGCTGGTGACTTTATGGCTAGTAACTCAACACCTAACCACTAGACCACCAGAACTCCTCAGTGCAGGGTTGCAGTCTCCGAAAACCCACCCAGGCAGTTCGACCCTGTCCTACAGGCTGCTGTCCATCGGCATTAATGGCCATGAGGTTGGTTTGGGTTTGTTTGCTGGTTGGTTTTCGATAGGTTTTCTGTAAGTTGGAATCGGCATGATGCAATGGTTGTGCCAAGTAAAATCATAGACTAGGTGGTACATCTTTTCCGGCCGTGACTCTGCCCTTAATCTTAGTGACTAGCTTCTGCATGTCAAACCCCCCCCCCCCTACATTTATTTCTTTGGAAATCTCCAAGAAATTAAAATCAGTCAGTGTAAGATATGACAAAATAATAATAATTTATAAATTACCAAGAGTTCGTGAGGGAGGGAGGGTGGGGGAGTGGGAGGAAGAAAAAGAAAAAGATTAAATAAGTTTTTAAGATGAGGAGCTGATATCAAGGGCTCAAGTAGAAAGAACGTGTTTTGAAAATAATGGTGGCAACATATGTACAAATGTGCTTGACACAATGGATGGATGGATGGATGGATGGATGGATGGATGGATGGATGGATGGATGGATGGATGGATGGATGGATGGATGGATGGATGGATGGATGGATGGATGGATAGATGGATGGTGATAAGGGCTGTATGAGCCCCCAATAAAATGATTAATAAATAAACAAATAAGTAAAATAAAATCCTTTAGTGTCTCAGAGTGCTTATGAGCTCAGACATTAGAGCCAGGTCACCTGGGTTGAACTTGCTTGGCACTGCCATTTACCAGCTCTGTGACCTTGGGCAGGTTGCAAGGTTAACAATACCACCTTCTGCATATGGTTATTTTGAGGAATAGATAAAAAATACAGGTAGAGCATGCCTGGGTCATAGTCAGCATTAAATGTTCTTTCATCACTGACGAAAGGGGGACTGAGGCCTTTGTCCACTTGTCCCCCAGTCTTCATTAAACTGACTGATTAATTATCCTAACCACAATCTGTAGGACCCTGTTGCAAACTCCAGAGGAGAATTGTCTCATTCCCTGTTTGGGTTTTGTTTGCCCTTCGCAGGGACTCTCTGGAGCAAGAGCAGCAGCTCTCCTGGCTCGGGATGGACACAACACCCTCAGCCCTCCCAAGGAGACCCCGGAGACTGTCAAGTTCCTCAAGCAGATGGTGGGGGGCTTCTCTGTCCTCCTGTGGATGGGAGCCATTCTGTGCTGGATCACATATGGGATTCAATACTCCCATGACCGGTCCTCATCCCTAGACAATGTAAGGCCCTAGCTGTTCCCCATGATGGTTCTGCTACTTTGGAAACTAAGGGAGAATAAAACCATTAATTGAAGCCTTTGTGGGAAGGCAGAACATGGAGTGGAGTCAGGACATTGTCACTAAGCGCTGTGTGGGTTTTAGGAAATCAACTTTCCCATCAGTAAAACAGAAATGACCTCTTAATGGCTCAGGGATAATGTGAGCATGAATTTTTAAAAATAAAGTAAAATGAGAAAGCCTTATGAATTCCTAAAGGGGAAAAAAAACCCACAACTCTATAGGTATGTGAAGCCTTTCTTAGCTGTTTCTCCTCCAAGCATCTATGACTTGAGAACTAAGTACTAAAATTACCAACCTGAATAGGATGATATACACTATACTGCTTGAAGTATCCAGGGGAAGGACATCTGTAGGGACAGTGAGCGGATTAGTGACTGCCTGGGGCTGAGGAAAGGAACCTGGTGGCATAGTGGCTGCCCGTTGGGCTGCTAATCACAAGGTCAACAGTTGGAGACCACCAAGGTCACTGTGAGTCAGAATGGATACAGTGGCATTGAATTTGGTTTGAGAACTGGAGATGGGACCAGGGGATTCCAGGCACAAGGGAGTGAGGTTTGGGGGGGGAGGAGCTGGGGGGGAGGGGCGGAGAGGGAGAAATGAAGGGAACATTCTAAAGGCTGAGAGTAGTGGTGGTTGCACAACTCTACGAATTTGCTTAAATTAAGAAATATATAGATCTTGGAATTTTGCACTTAAAATAGGCAAATGTGTCGTGTAAATGAGATGGGACCAAATGCCACGTCCCATGTCTTGCCATGGGGAAATCTAGTTGTGGTATCTGGTTCACAACTGTTGTGTGCTTTTCTGGTCTTCTCTCATCACTCAGGTGTATTTGGGTGCTGTGCTGGCTGTGGTGGTTATTCTGACGGCCATGTTTGCCTACTACCAAGAGGCCCAAAGTACCAACATCATGGCCACCGTCAGTAAAATGATTCCTCGGGTGAGTAGGCCAGCCATCTTTCAGAATTACCCTCATGTGAAGTTGCATCTGCTAATGAAAAAAGAGGGCGCAGATGGCAAAGTGGTCTGTGCTCAAGTGCTGGCTCGATCCCTTGCTGTCTGAAAACTCTTGATCCTGATCCACTTACCTGCACTCTTGGAAACCGCCTGCCCCCCACCCCACCCCCTTTTTTTCTTTTGCTGTGTGCCCTCTAGAGAGTCCATGTGCCTTTGTCAACACACAGCAGGAGAGCGGGGTTGTCCCTCCCCTCCAAGAACTGCCAACCAGAAGGAATGATAGTAGAATCAAAGGAAATCTATTTTGATCCTATGCCTTCGCGTGTAGTGCTCTTCCTAAACATGGCAGCCACTGTCATTCAGACTCAATTTGTTGCTCCATGTCCATCCTTTTCCATGCCTTCACTTTGCTGTCTCGGCCTGCAATAGCCTATGGTGCTTTCAAGAGTGTCTCTACGAATTCATCCTTAAGAAAGAGCTAGTTCTCAAAGCTCCATGCAACACTCTTTCTTGCTATCTGTTGCTAATCTTACAGTTATGTGTTTTAATCTGTTAGTTTCTGAGAGGTCTGACTGAAGGAGGGGGCTTCGCAGCGGTCCAGGATCTGAGACACCTGTCCTGCTTTTCTCTCCCAGCAAGCTCTTGTCATCCGAGACGGGGAGAAGAAGACAATCCCCGCAGAGCAGCTGGTGGGGGGGGACATAGTAGAGATTAAAGGAGGAGACCAGATTCCTACAGACCTCAGATTGCTGTCTTCTCAGGGGTGCAAGGTAAGCATCGTGTGGCACCCCTAAGGATCAGCTCCTCACCCATTGATCTTCCATTGGCTTTACCAATTTCAGTATAACTCGGGCAAGAAGCCAAATTTTGAACATCTTTTCAAATTTTCTCCTAGGTGGATAACTCTTCACTCACAGGGGAATCAGAGCCCCTGTCCTGGTCCTGTGATTGCACCCATGACAATGCCCTGGAAACAAAGAACATTGTCTTCTATTCTGCAGCCTGTCTGGAAGGTCAGTCCAACCAGGTCTAAGGGCCTTCTGCCTCAGGCCACATTTGTCTATTTCTACCATCTCTTATTACAAAGCCTTTCCTAGACAAAACATAAAATTGAAGAGCTTAGAAAATTGATACTTGTCTTTTAATGTCATGTAAGTCATCAAAGATAAGTCTATAAAGCCAAGGACCCCTGGAATAAAATGTCTACTTCTCCTATAGGCTCAGCAACCTGCATGGTCATCACCACGGGTGACAGCACCGTCATCGGAATTGCCTCCCTGGCTTCAGGAGTTGGAAATGAGAAGACCCCCCTTGCCGTTTTGTTCATATTGTGGCAGGAGTGTCCATCTTCATTGGCATGATTTTCTTCATCATCACTGTATCCATGAAGTATCCTGTCCTGGACTCCATCATCTTCCTCATCAGCATCATTGTCGCCAATGTGTCCGAGGGTCTCCTGGCCACTGTCACCGTGAGTTCATGCTGCTACGTAGCCACCAACTTTTCCTATCCCCTGACGCTGTTAACACTTAACATCTATGCTAGGGAAGCTTCCACAAAGTACCATCTTCCCTAGCTTTACAGTGAAATGTCTGTCCCATCACAGACAGCACTGGGACATTGTGAATAGCTTCCTGCTTAGAAGGATGAAAGGCAATTGTGATATTTTTAATATTGGAAGGCATTATCCTTGAATGTTTTTTACATTTTAAAATCACTTTAATAGCTCAGATGTTCACAATTGGAAAAGGTTAAATCACGTACATTAGAGCATGAGAGAACATCGAAACATCATTTTAAAAGAGCATTTAAGGATATCACAAAATGTTTCCAGCACAACAGTAATTTCATTTGTTTCCTTATAGTCCTTTGATTAAAGTTCTCCAAATGCTGCTTGTATAATATAACTTTGTAAGCTTGAATATAGTTTCCATCTTATTTGTCTAGCACACAATGAAAATGCCTGTCATTAGAATTGGGTATTGATTAACGGTTTTCTTGTCAAGTGCTCTGCCTCATCCAGATGATTTGCCTTTGTCTCTGTCCTGTTTCAGACCTAATAAATGTGCCTCTGTCGAATACATTTGAATTTGGGGCTCTCTTTTTTTCTTAGAACGAAACAGCCAGCAGCTGTGCTCCATCCACTTTATGACCTTGGAAACCCTCTGGGGAGCAAGCGTCTACTCTGCTCTGTGACCCTGAATTGGCTCAGCAGCAGTGGTTGTGTTGTTTTGTTTTGTTTGGGTTTTTGTTTTTTGGAATGGACCTTAGTCCAGTTTGGGGGCAAATCAAACATTTTCAATGCTCATCAAATAAACTCATACAAATCAGAAGGTAAGCTGTGCCTAAGCCGGAGTATTAATTGTCTGGGCACTATATTAAGTGGTCACTAATTATAATTATAATTTATAGACTGAAGCACAGAGAAACGATTTCTCTCCTCTTTGCTCTCAAACTTCACTCTAAAAAAAGTGCAGGAAAAACTCTTTGTTTCTGCTTCACCTGCTCCAAGTTCGTTGCGCACTCATTGGCCTCCATTGGCCCCCATTTAGTCCTTGTCCTACATGACCTCTTGGCAGCATTTCACACAATGTTCTGGAAATTCTTCTCCTTTATTTCCCTGGTTCTGCAGCCTCCTCAAGTATAGAATGTTACTGAGTTTTAACTGGTGTGCTACTGACTTTCTGGAGTGCTCGAAGACACGGTGTCCTTACGGTGTTTTCCCAAATCCTGAGACGCAATGGCACAGCTGCATTTGTTAAGATAAGATTAGTCCCAATGAACTGTGTGTGCTTAGAGCAATTTTATCACGATGTTATTGTTACACTATGCAGGCTATGTGCCCTTGCCTCATTATTATATAAAGCTGTACTTCGGAAATAAAATTTGCCTTTGGATCATCAGCCTAGTAAGGTGACCAGAATTTAACATTGGTAAACGGGACACCATTGACCAATGTTAAAATCTGGCGGGAGGGGGTTCTTGATTAAAATTTTGGTCTATGTAGACCAAATAGACCATTCCCTAGGTTGTCGTGCATTCTTTCCAAAAATCGGGACTTTTAAAAATGCCGCGGGACGTTTTAAATCAGGACTGTCCCGTCAAAAGCGGGACATCTGGTCGCCTTAGAGGACTTGCAGAAAGCTCAATTAGAAGTCAGTGGAAAGAAACCCATAATCCTCACACCCGGATCAGTAGGTGGCATCATGATAAAGGGAGAAGAGATGGGCATTGTCCAGGATTTTCGTCTTGCTTGGATCCACAATGTTCATGGAAGCAGCCATCAAGAGATCAAGCGACGTGCTGCATGGGGTGAATCTGCTGCACGAGACCTCTTTAAAGTGCTGAAAAGCAAGGATGCGACTTTGAGGACTAAGGTGCGCCTGCCCCAAGCCATGGCATCCTCCACTGATTCCGATGCTTGTGAAGGTTAAACAGGGAATAGGACAGACGGAAGGAGGATTGCTGCGTTTGAACGGTGGTGCTGGAGAAGAACACTGAAAGCACGACGGACGGACAAAAGGACCAACAGACATGTCTTGGAAGGAGGACATCCAGCAAGAGTGCTTCCTGGAGGCAAGAATGGCAAGCTTTCTCCTCCTGTAGTTTGGACATGTCACCAGGAGAGACCAGTCCTTGGAAACGGACATCATGTTTGGTAGAGGGGCGGCCAAAAGAGGAAAGCCCTCACCCCGCTGGACCGACATGGTGGCTGCAATCCCGGGCTCAAACGGGACAGTTGTGGGAGGACACAGGACAGGCCGTGTTTGTTCTGTTGCACACTGGTCACTACGCGCTGGAACTGATAGATGGCCTTCTAAGAACAACGACAAATTAGAGGTGTAACAGGTAGGGGAGGAGCCCTGATAGCGCAGCGGGCTACCTGTTGAGCTGCTAGCCACAAGATCGGCACTGTGAACCCACCAGTGGAAAAGATGAGACTTCATGCCCCAGGAAAGACTTAATTAGAAACCCTGTCCAGGGTTGTTATGAGCCGTCCACTCACTGGTCGTAGGTTTGGCTTTTCTACTCTGTCACATAAGGTTGCTCTGAGTCTGGCAGTGAGATCTAGGGAGAGGAGCAATTTAGGGGTAGAGGAAATATAAGCAGGGAGGAAGTAGAGGCTGAGAGAACTAGTGAGCTGGCAGGAAGTTGTGATAAGGGCTAATGTAGCTAAGAAAACTGTCATGGCTGATGGCTGAAGACTTGACGTATGTCTTAGAGCAGTGGTCCTCAACCTTCCTATTGCTGCGACCCTTTAATACAGTTCCTCATGGGGTGGTGCCCCCCTCCCCGCCCCCCCCCCTCGCCGACCATAAACTTATTTTCATTGCTACTTCGTAACTATAATTTTGCTACTGTTATGAATAGGGCGACCCCTGTGAAAGGGTCGTTCGACCCCCAAAAGAATCACAACCCACAGATTGAGAAGCGCTGTCAGAGTCAAACTTGAGGTTTGACTCCAAATTTCAAAGGAAATCATGTTGCTTTGATTTAAACCTGCTGCCACCTCTAGCTCCTGTTAACCTACAGCTGAATTAACCATTTTCTGAGTAAATCAGACACGAAAATATTGTATTAGGTAGGGATTGACATAAATCTAAGGGAGGTCATTGGACCTTCAAAAGAGTGTGGAAAGGAGTCTTGAGCAATCTTAAAGAACTTAAACGAGCAGCAAGACCCCAGAAGCTATCTGGGTTACACAAGCCTTGAAATTTATGAAGACATAAGTCCTCTTACCACATCACCACCTAGATAATTCATGTATTTTTAAAACAGGGACATAGAAAGATAAATCATACACCAACAGTAGAATCTCCATTTTAAAGTACAAAACATCAGTTGAGTATATTTTTCATACAATTTTCTTCCTCTTCTTGTATGAATTCTTGATGATGTCCCTATTGCCCGAGGAATCTTCTAGCTTGTGCCCAAAAGATGAGAACATAATCAGTGTGCAGGTGGGAAACTTGGGAAACAAGATGGTCTTAATAATATAAGTTCCTATCACACCAACCTGGAGAGAGAGGAAAAATTAGAAATCCAGTCTGTGGAAGTTTGTCAACAAAGCCTCAAAACCATATTACACCTACTTCTTACCGGCTATCTCATATTACAACAGTTTATATTTTTGATGGTAGCAAAGCATCTGCATCTCACAATGCAATCTGCAGTAACGAAGGAGGTCCCGGACAACTTCCATGACTAGTCGTTGCCCCTGTGTATATATAGAAAGCATGCTGCGACTGCATCCTTTCCACCCAGGAGGGGAGAGGTTGGGTGTTCTCCCCAAGTTGCCGAGGTAATGGCTGTGGAGTGGAGTGGTGGGATAGGTTGCTGCCCTGTGGGTCCAGGCTGCAGCCAGGGCCACAGCAACCAGGGTCCCAAAGGCAGGCTGCTCTCAGGAGGAGGTGGGACCCCTGGGTCTGGCCCAAGCTTCTAGTCTTAAGAGTGGTCAGAAGAAGCCCTGAGTTGAGGTACTAGGGTGCTTGGGCCTGTGGGACCCCACATCAGCTGACCAGCACCTGTTAAGCCCCTCATGCTTCCTCAATGTCTTCTTCAGGGTAGACTCAGGTGAGGATGGGACAGGCTATTCAGGGTGGGGACAAGTGGGCAGAGGGGAGCAGACTTGCTGTTGTGAGTGGGGGGATGCTTGGCTGAGGGATTGGTGGGGCCCTCAGCAGGCAATGCGCTGTGCCCCTTCCCTGCAGTACTCATGCCTTCTCATCCTTGGACAGGGAGACCTGGCCCCTGACAAAGTCATTAAGGGTGTTTTAGAGGACAGACTCGAGTTACCTATCTGAGAATATAGGGAGGGCAGGAGAGGGAGGAGGCCCCTGGGATGGGGAAGGAAGATAGTACTTGGGGCCACCTAGATCTGGAAGACTGGGCAGCATTCCCCCAGTAAGCAGTGGTGCAAAGCCAAGCCATACAAATCACATGACTACTTACCTCCAGGGTAAAGCCTGATGAGAAGTTTCCGCACCTCCTCGTACACCCAGAGCAAAATTGCAAATGGCACAGCCATGAACCAAAAATGAACCCTAGAAGCAAACGAGAAGGCAGTGAGTCCCATGCACCTTAGAGGAAGGGTCATTCCAAACCAATCAACAGAGAGCTTCTTGTTCATTTCCCCTGCCTTCCTGAAACGAACAATAAATCATTTAGGTCAGCGGTTCTCGACCTGTGGGTCAAGACCCCTTCGGGGGTTGAATGACCCTTTCACAGGGGTCGCCCGATTCATAACAGTAGCCTATTTACAGTTATGAAGTAGCAACGAAAATAATTTTATGGTTGGGGGGTGGGGTCACCACAGCATGAGAAACTGTATTAAAGGGCTGTGGCATGAGGAAGGTTGAGAACCACTGTGTTAGGGCATGCACTGTAAATGTGCAAAGCATTTTGTGTCATGTTAGAAACAGAACTGGGAAAAGTTTCCCCCCCCCACACAATGTTCCCCCATAATAATGCCAAACCTAAGGTGCTGTTCGCAAACACATAGTCACTGATTCTGCACTTGGAGGTCAACGGCTTAAAGGTTATCAGCCATCTAGAGCATTCAGACCCCACTGTCTATCCCACCCTAAGTAGAGCCCACTGATAAGGATAATGGATGGTTCCCCTGAAGGAGAGCCCAAGGACACCTAAGGTAAGGTGACCCGATTTGAACATTGGTAAAGTGGGACACCATTGATAAAACTCATATCCTGGTGAAATAGCCACATGGCAGCCGAAATCCATATACCCTAGCTTGTCATGCATTCTTTCCAAAAATTGAGACTTTTGTGGGACGCAGGAAAAATTGTTAAAAATCGGGACTGTCCCGCCAAAAGCGGGACGTCTGGTCACCTTAATAAGGTCAAGTCAACTCAGGGATGACCAAGGTTAGGCTGCCATCTTGACTCTAGAGCCCGCCTATCTTGGTGTGTGTATGCTATCCTCTCACACATACGCCTATTATACAACCCCTTCCTGTTATGCATATGATTACCTGTAATTGGGGGACTGGCACACCCCTCAATTATATATAAGCCTTGGTTGGAATAGTCTCTCTCTGCCCAGATGTGGCTGCTGAATTCATGATGGTCTCGTAGGTGAGCCCTTGCATGCTTACCTTGTCTGACATCTGTTAATGTTACTCGTCAATTACACAACTGCGCCTTGGACCCATTCAATTGTGGGGGCTGGAACCCCACAGTGTCGCATGGGTTGTGATGGTAAAGGGTTGCTAGGAGTAGAAATTGACTTGACGGCAGGGGGTTGGCGGTGGTAAGGAGCAACGCTGGCCGTTGGACGGATCTTTTAGATAAGAGTAGAGGTATGGAAGTTTGGAAAGCCAATTGTCTCTTCGGGGAAAATGGTCAGGTCTGAAGTCTTTGACTAATAGAGAAAAAAGCCCCCCCCCCCTTTTTTCTCATTTAAAGACTTGGGGAGGAGAAAGAAACCTCTGAAATCCAAAGTGGATTTACTAAGTGATGGCTATGTGTAGAGGGGACCAGGCAGGTTCTTCCCACCTCCTGCCAAGGTGAACTCACCTGAGCATCGTGAAATTCAGGGCTGGGAGACTCCCAAGGCCGCAGGAGAGGATGAGTGCTATGCCGATTGGCGAGGCGAGCCCTACCCAGATGACTTTATTTCTGTAAGACAGATCCGCAAGAGTGAACAGAGTCTGACTTCACATGGGACTGGGTGCTGCCCCTCAGATGGATGCCACCCAGCAGAGGTAATGCCTTGTGCATTTAAGGCAAGCCCATAGTATGCCCTTGGAATCAACAGTCCTCTTAACCCTTGGCATGGCAGGCCCAGAGGTAGCCATGGGATCAGACTCTGTAGATACCTGAAGAGACCCTGCTGGAAAATGGAGTTCCTCCGGGTTTTCCTCATGATCAGATTCGCTAGTTGCTGGACCATAATGGCAACGAAGTAGGCCGTGTAGCCTGTCCATTCCAGGTACTGTCGCTGGTACCGTGTCTGTCAGAGAGTAGATGTAGCGGGACCATGAGACTCACGAGGGAAAACTTCAGGAAAATTCTAACCCACTTCTGCAAAGTTGTATTTCCTTCCCTGTTCTTGGGGCCACGGGAAAAGCAGCATTCTTTTTCTAGGCCACACATCCCCACCTCACAAAGACTGATAGAAGATTACCTCTTTGTCTTTGGAAAGAAACTCTCCCTCACTCACCCACCGCTCCTTCTAACCAGGTGGGGAGGGAAAGGATGCTGATTTAGTGGATTTGGTCCAACTGTGGGGGTTGTGGAACCGGGTGGACACCAATCACAGAAACAAATGTGAAACAGCTTGAGGGATCTAATCCCTAGGGTCTCAAACATGGCTGATCATTGGAATCACCTGGGGATCTGATGCCCTTACAGATCTGGGGTCCAGAGCCCAGGGATCTGTAGTTTCACCAGATCTCCCGGAAATTCCAATGATCAGCCAAGTTTGAGAGCCCAGGATCTAATCTGAGAGATGAGGCTGGGTCTTGGCAGAGCCCAATCAATGTGTCCACAAGCCCTAATTACTGAGAAATGTTTCATTCGGTCTCTCTAAGGTAGTTCAGGAACAACAAGTTTTATCACCCATCGGGGCAAGACACTGATAGGAAGGGAGAACCAGTAGGATTCTCAGGGTAGACCACCCCCTCCTTTACCCATTCTTGTCCATAGTCGTCTTCCAGGTTGTTCACATCATCATCTTCCCATTCTTCCCGGAGGCCAATGAGAGTGCTGGGTTTAAACCCTGCCTGTGCGTACACGGTGAGGTAAATAGCAAATGCTCCCAGGGATTGCATGGGGCCTGAAAGAAACAGGGTACGTTTCTACAATCTCCCTCTCAGTGCCCCTTGTCATCCCAACCCCACATAAAAAGGGAAAATCAAAAGCAACACCACAACTGGGACGGTCACAAATCGCTCCTCTAGGTGAGGTGCCCCGATCGTACCGATGTGCAGGGACGAGTAGATGACAAGGGCCTTGTCTACCAGTCTGTCCTCCTTGTGGCGAGGCTTCCTGTCCATGATGTCACTTTCCGCTTTCTCATAAGACAAGGCAATGGAAGGAATCTAGGGACAGGAGAGAACTTGTGAGTCCTAACTGGCATACAGTCATCACAGAGGTGGCATAGCAGTAGGTAGGTAAGACTGGCTGAACTGGTGGTGGATGACATGGGTAGGACACCTCTTGGTGCAGGACTCACTGTCTGAACAGAATGATGAAACAGTCAGTTTATAAAAACTGCTTTCTATCACCCATCATGTCCCAGCAATGCTAAACAATTGAGTTATAAAATACTTTCCCCCAGGGGTGGCTTTCTCCCACAATCCCCCGCCCCGGTGGCAGGCCCCTGGGCCACAATGCAATGTGCTAGTAGAGTGGCTCTCAAGCTTAAGCAGGCACCACACTCACTTGGAGGGGCTGGAGAACACAGATTCCCCCCAAACTCCAGAGTTTCATATTCGGGGTGTTGGGGTGGGGCCACAGAATTTGCATTTCTAGCAAGTTTTTAGGTGATGTCTTTTGCCTCCTGCCCCCTCTAATTCTGAAAGTCATAGTTGGAGAAGCCCCACAGTAGAGAAAAACGAGCAAGTTTAAGAAATTTTCAAGAAAATACTGTGATTTGACTTTGTGGGGCTCTCAATTCCCTCAGCAGCAAAGCCATCTCTAGGTTCCCTGCAAGATAGGGGTTATTAATTGTTCAAACCGCAGAAGAGGAAAATGAGGTCACGTGCTATGAAGTTAGCTTGTTCTATGTTCTTTTCAGCCCTCTACCTTTGTAAACCGGAGTCAACTGAGTAACTGTCCAAGAGCTTCCTGATCTTTAAACAGGCAAGGAAAAGTGACTTGATTTATAGAGGCTGAATACCTGCTACTTCTTACTGCAGGTGAAAGGTCAGCAGTTAGAACCCACCCAGGGGTGCCTCCAAATCGAAGCTGGATGATCTGCTTCCAAAAGACCAGCCTTGAAGACCCTACAGAACAGTTCTACTCTGCATCTCTCGCCAGGGATGAGAATGCACTTGACAGCAACTAACAAGACCAACAACTTCTTATTTGTATTTAGGTGATGGGCTTCCAGATCACAGATCATTTTACTCAAAAAGAGATGGTTTTCTCTCCGGACATGATCGCTGAAGGCAAAATGGGTGCATAAGAAAATGTGGTGAAGAAAGCTGATGGTGGCCAGCTATCAAAAGATATAGTGTCTGGCTTTAAAGGCTTGAAGTTAAACAAACAGCCATGTAGCAAGGAAGCAAAGAAGCCCACATGGAAGAAGCACACCAGCCTGTGTGATCATGAGATGTCAAAAGAATCAGATAAGAGGCACCAGAAGACCCCAAACAAACTAACAAAACGCCATATTGTTTGGGACAAGGTGGGTCAGAGCCCAGACCTAAAACCCATCTGTAGACAATAGGACATCCCCTCACAGAAAGGTCACAAGGAAGGAATGAGTCAACCAGGGCACAGTCTAGCACCTACGAAACACGCACTGTTCCTCTGGTTCTTTGAGGCTTTCTCACCCCCCACTATCATGACTCCAGTCCTGCCTTTCAGTTGTGGCTAGACTGGAGCATGTACACAGGTCCAGATAAGAGCTCACAACACATGGAATCCAGGTCAGATAAACCCCTCAGGTACAGAATTGGGAGTAGAGATACCAGGAGGGCAGGGGAAAGGAGAAGGGAGAAGGGGAGGAAGGGGGAACCAATCTCAATGATTGATGCACAATCTCTCCCAAGGGGAAGAACAACAGAAAGGTGGTGAAGGGAGACAGCAGCCGCTGTAAGATATGAAAACAACAATTTATAATTTATCAAGGGGTCAGGAGTGTGGGAGGCAGGGGGAGGGAGGGAAAAAAGAGGAGCTAATACCAAGGGCTCAAACGGAAAATAAATGTTCAGAAAATGATGATGGCAAACATATGTACAAATATGCTTGATACAATTGATATAAGGAATGTTATAAGACCTATAAGAGCCCCCAATAAAATGATTTAAAAAAAAGAGATGGTTGTGAGGTTCTCAGTTTAGACACCATGCCCCAGTATTATTTGTAGGGACTATTTTAAGGACAGCTTTATCTGCCAGCCTCCATCCTCCTGCGTCAGATCACCCTCCATCCCCATATATAATAATAGAAATAAAAATGCAGTTGGTTTGAAACAAGCAAATAGAATATTTTGGGGGAGAATGACGAGCTCACATGTTGAAAAGCTCCTGTGGAGAAGGAGTAGGGAGACCAGCAGACACACTCAGAGACTTCATGACACCGGACAAGCACTACTTTAGTTCCTATCCTGGATTTTAAAAGTTTACAGACCACCGTTCTCTTTAATAGGCGCTCTGGCGGGGGAGTGGTTATGCTTTGGATTGCTAACCGCAAGGTCAGCAGTTCAAAACCATCAGCTTCTCCATGGGAGAAAGATGGGGCTTTCCATTCCTATAAAGAGTTACTCACAGTGGCAGTTCTACCCTGTCCTAATAGGGTCACTAGGCATTGGCATTGACTCGATGGGGGTGAGGTTGTTGTTGTTGTTGTTGCTATCTTTAGTGCTACTTACGATGTCTGTGCTCAAGTCCATGAGCAAGGCAGAAATGGGGCCAATGGGAAGGGGGACCCCAAGAATAAAGTAGACCAAAAAGGGGCAAAGCAGGGCCACGTTCTTAGTCAAGGTGTAAGCAATGCTCTTCTTTAGGTTGTCAAAGATCAAACGACCTAGGGGAAAAGATTTTTACGTATAAGATTTGCTTTTAGTTTTCCAAGTGACCCCAGCCCTCGGTCAGACCATTAGATGCCCCATTTACCTTCCTCCACCCCTGTGACGATGGACGCAAAGTTGTCATCCAGTAAGACCATGTCGGCTGCATTTTTGGCTGCGTCAGAACCCGCTATGCCCATGGCGATGCCAATATCGGCCTTCTTGAGAGCTGGGGAGTCGTTAACGCCATCCCCTGTCACAGCAACCACTGCGCCCTGCGGGGACACGGTGAGAGAAGGCAGGTGAGCAGACAGGAGGGACCGCAGGCTTGCAAGAGCATCGCAGTCTCAATCTCCTCTTAAGGCTAGGAGGACTGAGCTGATCGTAGGGGTCTGGTTGGGGAGAAATGCCAAGACAGGAAATCCAAGAAACAGGAATAATGAACCATACACAAGATACTCAAGTAGGGGAGGGAGGGGGAAAAAGAGGATCTGATACCAAGGGCTCAAGTGAGAGAAATGTCTTGGAAATGTCGATGGCAACATCTGCACAGCATTATTCAATTGCTTAATACAATTGAATGATGAATTGTCATAGATTTGTAAGAGCCCCCAATAAAATGATTAATAAATAATAAAACTATATATATCCACTTAAGAAAATCTAGTCTGTATAAAGTTTAAACTTAACACAGGCTGTATGATATATTTTAAAAATATTTTTTTAAATTTTACCCAAAGTAAAATTTTATATTTAAAAAGAAAATTAAGTTACAGGTGTACAAAGAGCAGATGTTTAATATACTGAAGACAAAGCTTGATGTACTTAATGTCAATAGTTGGGGCCATTTTTAAAGTTAAAAATGGCATTAACAATAGCTCTGTATAGCAATATTTAGAATAACTGAAAAGGGAAAGGAAAACTACCTTTACACCATATTTCCACAAATTGTTCTGAAGACACTCAACTACTCTCAGTTGTTTTTCCTTTGCTGTAAAATAAACCATCTCAAAGCCAGTCTACAGTGTATTGTTTCTGGATTAAGTATAAGCATTCACATTTACAAAGATGGTTTGCAATGGGTCCTTGGCTTCCATGAAAGCATAGGAGAAACTAGTTTATTTTCAAATTCTGTGACTGACTTCTCATTATCTTGTATAAGTAGAAGTGCTGTCAAAATATCAGATTTTAGGATCAGACTTAATTCTTTGGTCTAAGCATGAAACTGTTCATGATAGCTTTCCAGGTTAGCTTCGTAATAAACCAGGAAGGAACCCAAAAAGCATGAGAGAAAACAATAAAGTCTGGAATACAATGCAGGGCACGCAGGAGCTATAACTTAATGTTTTCTTATAGGAAAAGTCAACAGTAATACTATGAGGGGTACCCCTCCCAAGAACCAGATCTTTTTTCAAAACTACGTATGTAAATTTTTTAACAGAACAATCTTATCACCTTCAAAATACTCTCCATTACACTTATACATTTGTCAAATCTGTGACTCCATTCTTGGAAACATTATTCAAACTCATCTGTTTGGACACCAGACAATTCCCCCCTCATTTTTTTTTCCCTTCACCTCTTCTGCATCTCAAATCACTGTCCTTTCATGTTCGTCTTCATTCGAGGAAACAAAACAGTCTCATGAAGCCAGGTTAGGTGAGTCAGGCGTGTGGGACAAAAGAAGCATGCTGTTTTGGCCAAAACTGGCCCACTGAGATGGCTGCATGAGCAGGTGCATTGTCATGGTGGCAAAACCATTCCCCCATCTGCCACAAATCAGGCCTCTTGTCACACACTGTTGTGCAATCTTTTCAGACCTCTAAATAGAAAGCTTGATTAACAGTCTGACCCGGTGGAACGAACTGCAAATGCATTACCCTCACATTAAAAATACAGATGAGTATCATCTTTATCTTTGATTTCACTGGACAAGCTTTTTGTGGACTAGTTGATGACGGTGACTTCCACTGACTAGACTGATGTTTGCTTCCGGGGTTGTGGGAATAGCTTCATGTCTTGTCACCAGTAATGACCTTGGGAAGAAAGTACCACGTGTTTCCACGCATAGCTCTTTTTCCAGGTCAGCCAGAACCCAAGGCACAAATTTCTCAGCAACCCTTCTCATTCCCAAATCTCTCGTTAAAATTCGCTGAACCAAGCTCCAAGGTAGTCCAGATAACTTCCCCATCTCCTCAGCGGTTCCTCATTGGTCTTCGAACACAAGCACACGAATTTCGTTGACATTTTCATCTCTTCAGGAAGTTGACAGATGTCCAGAACGAGGTTTGTCATCAATTGACATTTCACCTTTTTTGACATGAGAAAACCACTCATACACTTCAGTTTTTCCCATAGTGCTGTCCTTGTAAGCTGTGTTCAACATTACAACAGTTTCTGCGGCATTTTTCCTGAGCAGGAAACAAGATTTCACAGCTGCACGCTGTTCTCTTAAATCAGCCGTCACAATGAGGTTTGAGCGAAACTGCTTTTAAGAAAAAATTTACTGTGATCAGAGAGAAGCTTCCCAGGTGATGCCATTGGGTGCACTAATTCAGAGAGAGTTTCTTGACGCTCATCAAGTGACAAAAATGCGTATTACAAAATCTCCAACCAGCGGAGCTCTTTTCTGTTCTTTTTCTTGGGCACCCCCTTGTATAATTTAGAGAAACGTATGCCTACTTAGGGGTTTCGACATTATAGTAAACCAAAAGGTCACACTTAAAAGTGACCAAGCATGTAACTTGTAGTTGGGATATTTTTGCTAGATTTTGGCATTTTACTATAATATACAGTATACAACTACCCAAGGACTCAGTACTATCTTGGCACAACAGACTAACAGTTTGTACCTCTGCGGGGTGGGTAACATCTTTCCCCCATAAAGGCCTGAACTTTATAACACAGCGTAAATTAGAGGTAGAAACAAGGTTACAAAGTACCTCTATTTTCAATTCTGCATTTTTTACGTTGTGACATATATATATTAGTGTATTTCATTTAGCAAGTTTAAAAAGCTTCTGAAACATAGCCTTTTGTAGAATAAGTACAGGGCTTGAGGGCTATTAAATTAAATGCCCAAAATATCTGAGGGATCAAGTCCATTTAAATAAGTATAGTTCTTTTAAATGTCATTTGAAGAATTTGTTGGGTCAGGGTCTGGTCAGGGGCATTAGGAACAGCCTGCCCTGCCTTTATCCAATGAGAAGGCTAGCTTCAAAAGGACTCCAGGACAATGAGCCATCCCCTCCATATCAGGCAAAATGATCCAGACCCTCCTGCCCCCTCCCCTCCTTGTTTACCCTCCTGACCAGCTTAAAATCTTGCTCTTCACCACAGACAGGTGCAACGTGTCAGGCTTCAGCCGGGGCTCCCAGTGGACCTTGCCTGGAGCTCAGGGCTCCTGTCTCTTCCTCTGCTCTCCCCGCCCTCCCAGCGCGAATTCACTGGCTCCTTGCTGGAACTAGTGAATCTCGCCCAGGAGTGCAGAATAAACTTCTCCTTTCCCTTTTCTCTGGTCTGGCTTCAGTTTATCTTTGCGGTGAGCCTAATAGAATTGCTTGTAGGTACTAGACTCCAAGACTGCACTGTACCCAAAGATGCACCTGTACGATACCCAAAGAATGGGTTTTGTCATTCTCCACCCCAGGCGCTCTTCTTCAACCCGCTGCTTCTTCGTTTCCTAAACAGGCGGTCATGTTTGCACACTCGATCTTTTCCATCACGGATCAAGCACATAACTTTATAAACAAACATTTGCCTGCTCCAAGTGCCCAAACCAAGACTCCTTATTGCCTTGAGTTGTATCTTTTGTTAAAAGTTCATAACTAAAGATTTACAGCTAGATTAACCTAACTATCTGGGAAAAACTAGTTCCAGATATTCTAGTAAATTATCTTTGAAAGTTGAAATCCTTATATGCTCAGTACCCAAATGTTTTGCTGTCAGAAGTCGCTCGCTCTAGTATTGGATGCAGAGACTGAGTTCGTCCGTAAGCATGCGGCATGAGGAACATGCTGGCACATTCTTCTCAGACGTGAACAAGGAGAGCAGGAAGGAGGGCAGAGAAGTGAAATGACAATGACTTTTGGCAAAGGGATTTCTCCGGAGCGGTTACAAACGGTCCCACAGCCCGGGTCTGAGATGCCCGTCTATTGTGGTGTTTTCCCACCTGGGGACAGTGGACCTGGACCCTCTGGCTCCAGTGCCACCCACTCACCAGTCTCTGACAGCCCTCCACGATAGTCAGCTTCTGCTGGGGGGACATCCGGGCAAAGACGATTTCGGAGTGGTTGGCCAGGATCTCATCCAGCTGTTCTGAGCTCATGCGCTTCAGCTCTGTGCCAGTCACCACGGCGGCGTTAGCATCCCTAGAAGGGCCGGGAGAGACCAGGTGTGGCCACAGACCAGACCTGAAGGTAGAGTGTGGTTCTGGGCAGGAGGGAGTTGAAAGCCCTGTGGTGTTGCGTGAAACCAAATTGCCTCAGCTCCTGCTAAGTGAGGGAATGGTGATCATAGGTGTCAGTGTCAGTTTAGTGTTCACTGCAAGATGGTAAACTGAAGCTGAAAGATTAAGTCATTTCTTGCTATTATATGACAAAGAAATAAAAAGCAAGACAGACTTTTCATTGCTTCCTGGGCAATAACATGTACCACCCTAAAGCCCACTGCCATTAAGTCAAATTCTGACTCGCCGTTACCCCAGATAGGGTTTCTGAGGTGGTAAATCATTACAGGAACAGACAGCCTCCACTTTCTCCTATCAAGTGGCTGGTGGGTTTGAACTGCAGACTTTGTGGTTCACACTTACTCAATAGCTCCACCAGGGCTCTTAATAGCAGGTGCGCTAGAGGTAAAGGTGTCCACTATAAAATGTTTTGAACTTTGCTGTGTGTTTGAAATCTTTCATAATAAATTGTTTGGAAAAACGTGTCTGCATTTAAAGTATAGGATTCCAGAACTGAGTTTATGCCAAGGGCCTAGGCAATGATTTGTTGCTGTTTCACTTATTTATTCAACAGGAAAGAGTGTCTATGTGCATGTGTTATAAAGGGAGGAAAAATATCTAGGCGTTCTTTGAGCAAAATATTTGAGCAAAAGTATTGTCTGCTGAAATAGAAATGTATGGTTTGGGGAGGGAAGGGAAAAAATGAGGAGCTGATACCAAGGGCTCAAGTAGAAAGAAAATGTTTTGAGAATGAGGATGGCAACAAAGGTACAAATGTGCTTGACACAATGGATTTATGTGTGGATTGTGATGAGTTGGATGAGCCCCCAATAAAACAATTAAAAAAAAAAAAGAAACATATGGTTCAAGGGACTACTGGTTATGCACAACTGTCTTATTTCCTTGCTAAAACTCGTCGGAAGTTTGCCATTGTACTTAGAACAAATCTCAGAACTCCAAAACTGGTCTCTGAGGCAACAAGCAACCTCTCAGGTCAAGTGAAAACTGCCATGTTGAGTTCTATATCCCCTGCTCCACAATCTATGCTTGTAGAAGCAGCAATCAAGAGATCAAAAGGAGCTGCATTCAGTAAATCTGCTACACAAGACCTCTTTAGAGTATTGAAAAGCAAAGATGTTATTTTGAGGACTAACGTGCACCTGACCCAAGCCATATTTTCAATTTCCTCATATGCATGTGAAAGTTGGACATTGAATAAGGAAGCCCTAAGAAGAATTCATGCATTTGAATTGTAGTGCTGGAGAAGAATACTGAAGGTACCATGGACTGCTGAAAGGACACACCAACCTGTCTTGGAAAAAGTTTGGCCAGACTACGCCCTCGAGGCAAAGATGATGAGAATTAGTCTTACATACTTTGGACACATTGTCCGAAGAGACCAGTCCCTTGGGAAGGACATCACATTTGGTAAAGTACAGGGGCAGAGAAAAAGAGGCAGCGCCCCTCACCAAGATGGATTGACACCGTGGCTGCAACAATGGGCTCAGACATAGGAACACTTGTGAGGATGGTGTAGGACCCAGCCATGTTTCATTCTGTTGTGCATAAGGTTGCGATGGGTCAGAGCCGACTCGATAGCACCTAACTGCAACAAGCTTTAAGTACTGAGACCCTCCCTCCACGTCCTCTGCTGTCTCAGGTCGTTCAAGGTCCTCCTCCCTTTGCAAGGAGTGGCCATGGCTTCAGCTCATCATTGCTTGGCTAAAGCTCCAGATTTGAGCTTTTCAATCACAGTTAAAACAAGGTAGGTGAAAAATCTCACAGCCTTGTTCTTTATATTTGTTGGATTTTGAGACTTTTAGACCTGATTTTCCCTTTTGATGTTAAGTATTGGAATTCTAGCACTTGAGTTTGAAATGACAGGCCTTCCTAAATACTGGTAAATCAGACAGACAGATGATATATAGGTAGATAGATAGAAATGAAAAAGCTTTGAGAATGACGATGGCAACAAATGTACAAATGTGCTTGACACAATGGATGTGTAGATGGATTGTGATAAGAGTTGTATGAGCCCCCAATAAAATGATAAAAAATGAAAAATGTGAAAAAGTTTACTTATAAACCATAGAAACTTTTATTAAACAAACGTATCAAAATGTGAAACTATAATTTTTGGTGCATACTTCATTTAGGTCGATATACTCCTGAAATTGGTTCCTCCATCTCTCTAATCCTTCCCTACAGAATTCTATGTTCTTTAAACTGTATCCTGTTAGGACAACCATTTTATCTTACTTGAGGTACTCTGACCACGTTCCTTGTAAATATTGGATTTAGGGAATGAAGAGAAATCTGAAGGGATAATATCAGGACTGAAGGGTGGATGGGGCATGGTTTCCCAGTGAAATTCTCATAGTTGCCACCCTTGCTATCCTCCAAAAAGGAAGAGAGGTGTTGTCATGATGGGAAATATTTGTTGGTACAACTTTCCTGGACTCTTTCTCTTTTTTTTTAAACGTTTTATTAGGGGCTCATACAGCTCTTATCACAATCCATACATACATCAATTGTGTAAAGCACAGTTGTGCATTCATTGCCCTCATCATTCTCAAAACATTT